TCATTAAGGCTCAAAAGAGCACCTCACTGTATCATATATCCAATCAAAATACTCATCCAGTTGTCACAGTAAAATCTCTAGGAAGAGATTTGACCTACTCCATTATCGCCTATTCTACTCATTCACATCTATGTAATCAAGAACTGCAGCCAAGAACAACAACAACATCAACTTCCAGACGTCTAGACAGTACTACCAGTCTCCCCCCGTCACCACTGCCGGTCACCCCACCTCGCAACTGGGTTGCTGGGAGGCCACGCCCTCCGGAACAAGCAGTTTAAGTGAGCTGGTTCATAGTCAAAGAAGCCATCAGCGCCATCTGCCCGGCCGTTATTCTATATAAATAGGGCTACCAAGCTCTCCAAGATTCAGATTACTCCTGTGTGCTGAACTGAGTAGACCTGTTAACACATCTCGGTGTTGTAACAGATTTAGTCAGACTAGCTAACAGTATTCTGCACCATATTTTATTTTGCACCTTAACATAACATAAATTTGATTATTCATCTTGTTTGTTTTACACACTTTGTATTAAAGCCAAGCCTGGATATTTTTTGTAATTTGCTTAATTTATTTTTAAAGTAAAGTATTTTTTAAATGTTTTTCCCTCTGCTTTATCCTACAGTTTACCTCACTGTGAAGAAACCTTTGCAGTTTAACTTTCTTTTTCTCTTATTTTTTTAATATTTTGTGACTGGCATTACAAAGACTGCACGACTACCAACGTTTCCCGTCACAATTTGGGGGCCTGCCCTAGGAGCCTCACTCAGGTAATGCTTCTAGACCCTTCACTTAAAGTTGTGGTAACTGTTCTTGGCTTTATTACAAATTTAATTTTTCAGAACTCTTATTCTTTGACTAATTTTAATGGTGCTTCATACTGTTTGCTTTCCAGATGTAGCATTTTATGATTGTTGGATGACTTTGGATTACGTGGTGTCTGGTGGCCACAGTCATACTCGTGATTAGTTGTTCCATAATCTTTGCTATATTTTGTGTTTCCACCTTATTCTCGTCCCTGCAGGAGAGTTCTCATGCAGACAGATCAACCCCTTTGGTACCCCTGGTACTTTGGTCTGTCTTCGGGTCAAGTACACCCACATCTTTGCAACCCGAACGTAGGAGGATATAGAGGGCCAAAGTTCCTCTCGCACGGACTATACTGAAAGGTTGTAACCCCTACAAGCAGTTCTCGTCATTAATTGACACTTCGCACCCCTATGCATCGGTCAGAGATATGGTACTTACACAGATAGGGAGTTAACACTCTTTTCCAGAGCACAAAGATTGTTAATTCTTTAAGTACTATCTAGTTTTAGTAGGAAGCCTTTTACCTTTGCTCTCGTCATTAGAGACAAGGTAAGAAATCCCTACATTTTTTGGACTACCTTCGAGACAATTGTCTCAACATTAAAGTAGGATCCCTCTTGCCCTTATCCTCGTCATATAGAGTACCGGGTACAAGATTCCCTACTTCCTTGAAATGCTTAGTTTCAATTTTTTATCTTGATTGTAACCTTGATTATTAAGTTTAACAGGATAGTTTACTGTTGCCACGTCATCCTGTCACTCTGACGTTTCATATTTTGGTACATCCACCTGGGTATTCTCTTGCATATATTTGCTATCATTCGCCATGTTTCGTCTTTCCACATTTAGACAGAATCCAAATGATGAAGTGAGCACACTAGTTTGTGCCACCAAGGCGGAGATGCTGACTCTAGTAAATCTTACAGCCCCACTTGGAGCCACTAAAACTTATTTGCACAACCTCATCTTGGACCACTTATTAGACAATGATGCTATTACTCCTGAAACTCATGAACATTACTTAATTGCAGACAAGAACGCCTTGGCAGCCATGAAATTGAAGCTAGATCTCGCTAACGCCGGACGTGAACGTCTGATAGAACAAGCTGCCTTTGAAAAGGAAACTCTCCAGAGGAAGGAACGTGAAGCTACCTTAGAAAGTGAGCATGAAAAGGAAGCTCTTCAGCTCCAGAAAGAACTAGCTGCCCTACAATGCGTGAGAGGGAGCAGCTTGAATTAAAAGAACGCGACCTGGAGATACAACGTGAACACGATAAGAAGCAAGCCGCCAGTGCTCTAGACAACCGTAAGAAAGAAGTGGACTTTGAACTACACACCGCACTCGGCGCCAACAAGCCGAAGCTAAACTTTCGGTACGTTTTGACCTTTCACATGCAATTAAGTTAATGCCATTTTTTGTTGAGGCAAAAGTAGATGTCTTTTATTTCATTTGAGGCTCTAGCTACCAACTTAGCTGGCCTCAGGATCAATGGTCTGTGCTTCTCAGGTCTCATTTAACAGGTAAAGCTGCAGTGACTCTCAGTACTACAGCGTCTGAAAGCGACTACCAGGTACTGAAACAAGCAGTGCTCGATGCCTACCTCCTCTCCACCGAGACCTACAGACGTAAGTTCAGGGATTACCTTAAAGCAAGTGCTACCACTTATCTAGAGTTTGCGAATAACAAAAAAGATATATTTTATGAAGTGGCTGGAAGCCGCAAAAGTCTCCAACCTTTAAAGATCTCGTCAACCTCATCCTGGTGGAAGAATTCCTTAGGCGTGTACCTAATCCAATACGTCTCTACCTCGCCGACAAGGAAGACGATCTTACCAGATGTGCTCAATTGGCTGACTCCTACAGTCTTATTCACAGAGTACCAGCCGACCCACCATCTAGTAAGACCTGGTTTAGTCCTGAGAAAGTGAGTACCAGTAATGTGAACTCCTCGTTGTATTGCAATTATTGCAAAGACTATGGGCATAACATAGAAAAGTGTATCAATCCTCACTGTAAGGTCAGCAGTGAAAATAAGCCCAAATCACCTCCTGAAATTCACAAGAGTCCTAAGCCTGTAATGAATATTTTTGTTTCTTCCACTGATCTTTCTCTCTTCAATAGACACCTGTACTCTGAAACAGTCTCTGCCAGCCGTGGAGATACAGAGGAAAGGTTCAAAGTGAAGATCTTGAGGGACACAACTGCTCTACAGTTCATTCTTCTGAAATCAGCTATACCCAACGTCACCTACACTGGAGAAACTGTTCTCATCACGGACCTAACTGCTACTACACCATATCCACTTGCCAGAGTCCACCTGGATTGTCCGTTTATGCAAGGTGAAGTCCAAGTCGCCCTCCGGGAAAAGCCTTTTCCCATGTCACGAGTTCAACTTCTCCTAAGTAACGACTTGGCAGAAGATCAACAACCTGAGAGCGTAATCACCATGGAAGATCCCCAGGTATGTGACTCGGCAGTGGAAAATCCTGTTTTGCAGTTAGTAGAAGAGGTCCAAGTAACAGATTCTGACAACGTCTTCCCTCCTGTTATGGTGACGAAGCGGGCCACAGCTGCTCGCCCGAAACTAGCTCCTGCAGCTGTTCCTCAAGATTCTCCGAGCCTCCCACCAAATCTCGCAGTGCTAGAGTTCCGTAAGTTGCATAGAGAGAATCCTTCCTTAACATCTTTATTCTTACAGGCTGAGACACAACCTAACTCTATCCCTGGTTTCTTTGTAGAAAATAAAGTGTTGTACCGGAAACCAGGAAATTAGAACCAGGAAATTGAAGGAGAACGACGATCGGGCCAACATCAAACAACTGGTAGTTCCCAACAGCCTACGATCAGATATCTTGCATCTGGTCCGGGGATCTCGCTCACACTACGGCTTCTACAAGGCCTACAAGGCCCTGAAACAGGACTACTACTGGCCAGGTATGATTAGAGACATTAAACACCATGTCAAAAATTGCCACATATCTCAGATGACAGGTGAGCCGAACGCTCGTCTATTAAAGGCATCCCTAATAAAAGTACCAGTGTCTTCTGAGCCGTTGAGCCATAACAACTATGACGAGCCTCTGTCCCAGACAAGCTCAGGTAATATTCCTTTATATACTGTCCCGTGTTTTACCATCAGGTATTCTACAGCAGTTTCCGTCCAGAACAGTACAGCTGCTAACGTTGTGAAACACCTCGGGAAGCAGTGCTCGCAGTACGGGCACCGTCAGGAAAGTCTGGAAAAGTGTGATACCATCTTCTCCAACGACCTGAGTAAGACAAACAACACCAAGGTATTATCTAATCCTTCTCGTTGTACTTGGACTGACTACAATGGTTCTAAATTCTTGATCTATTCCAACACCAGGAAAGATCCTTCTCTCTACGAACCAAATCCAAATAAATGTGGTCCTCCAGACAACTTCATCAGCCCTCAGCTAAAATATTGTAAGACAAACTTGCCTTCCATTGCATTTGAAAGGCGTAAATCCTTGACTAGTACTAACTCCATTCTCGCCCTGCCAGGTATTAGAAAACCTTCAGTCGTGTACCCTGGCAATAGGAACACCATCACACCACCGCGAGATGGGATTGAACTATAGCTACAGTCGTCAGAGAGGAGCCACTCGACATCCTACCTGACGTGCAACATAATGTATCATCCAATCTACTAGGTTATAACTTCATCCTCATCTCGGACTTCAACATTCTTCGGTCCCTCCATCAGGATCAGTTCTCCAAACTTTGCTGAATCCTGCATCACCATGTAAACCTCATGTATCACAATCTCCTTCGGTTCCTATTGCTAGCCCAGTTCTCCAATCAGCACTTGCTACGCTGGGTTTTACATCAGAAGAACAATCTCACCCTTTCCTTGGATCACCATTCTCATCGATCCATTCAGCAGGCTCGATTGTACAGCAGATTCATGCTTCAGTGTCCTGCAGTGCTACCTCAACATCTTCGAGCACCATCCTCTCCAGCTTCTGCAGCAGACCCAGTTCACCAACCAACATCTGCTTCACTGGGCTCTGTACCTGCAGAACTTCAACATCAACTTCATCAGACACCAACAACGTCATCGCCAACGCACTTTCAAGAGTCCACGGGGTGGACTCATCTACTCCTACTATTCTACACTCCGCTGCAGTCGAGTAGGCAATAGGAGCAGGCTTCGGGGGAGAGCGGTCATGGTAAAATCTCTAGGAAGAGATTTGACCTACTCCATTATCGCCTATTCTACTCATTCACATCTATGTAATCAAGAATTGCAGCCAAGAACAACAACAACAACTACTTCCAGACGTCTAGACAGTACTACCAGTCTCCCCCCGTCACCACTGCCGGTCACCCCACCTCGCACCTGGGTCGCTGGGAGGCCACGCCCTCCTAAACCAATAGTTTAATTGAGCTGGTTCATAGTTAAAGAAGCCATCAGTGCCATCTGCCCGGCCGTTATTCTGTATAAATAGGGCTACCAAGCTCTCCAAGATTCAGATTACTCCTTGTGTGCTCAACTGAGTAGACCTGTTAACATATCCCGGTGTTGTAACGGATTTAGTCAGACTAGCTAACAGTATTCCGCACCATATTTTATTTTGCACCTTAACGTAACGTAAATTTGATTATTCATCTTGTTTTGCACACTTTGTATTAAAGCCAAGCCTGGATATTTTTTGTAATTTGTTTAATTTTTTTTAAAGTAAAGTATTTTTTAAATGTTTTTCCCTCTGCTTTATCCTACAGTTTACCTCACTGTGAAGACACCTTTGCAGTTTAACTTTTTTTTTTTTTAATATTTTGTGACTGGCATTACAGAGACTGCACGACCATCAATGTTTCCCGTTACACAGTGTACTTAAATATGAACTAGATTGAGTAGAAGCTGCTTCGTATGTATAAAATAGGCCTTCTGCAGTTACCGTCATTCTCATGTTCTCATGACATCATCATCCCCAATGCAGTTTGATCCACCAAATAGGCTACGTTCCTTTTAGCCCCCATGATGTTACAAGCGGTTCCTAGGAGGGTGCTCGACTCTCATTAGCTCATACCTTTAATCTCTTAATTGTTCAACTGTACTCTGTAAGTGTCACCACCGGCTACGTCTTGATGCCTTGTGTCCACTCGTATTTTCGCTCATTGGGCATACTGTTTTGTTATTTAATTCATCGACCCTGCCAAGGCCAATGAGGACTTGGCATCCAATATTTATGTAGTATATATAATGTTATTATTAAAAATTGGCTATACTATCCATCCCCAAACCAAATTATCCTCATCACAGGTGTGTGAGAATATGCATTTTATGCATTTTTATTATTTATATTGGTAATCAAAGTTTACATTCTAGTCTTAACAAAAAAAGTGCAATGGGGAAAAGCATAATATTTCAGATGTCGCCCATAGCAATCTCAGTACTTAGTAATTTGCAAGGGAGACCAACTCCTCTACCATATCAAATCAGGGTAATTCCTAAACAGCAACAGCGAATATTTATCACTGTAGATGAATTGTACACTATATTCCACATGTGGATATCATACTTTTAGCATCTAAGCACTCTAATACATTAATTCACATGCTAATCATCTACAACTGGAATCATTCATTATGCAGTGTTAAGTTAAAAAACTAAAATAGCTACCCAAATGTTTTACCGCAATTTAAGCTGAATCATACATCTGGCAGCTCAGCTGGACGCTAGCCACTATATTCATAGGTTAATCATTTCTACCGTTTGTTCATGTTTAACAAATTTGCTATCTTTTTATTCCAGCATAGTTGAGGCAGTTGATAGTGGTAAGGATTGTGAGGTTGTGTACCTTGAATTTAGGAAAGCTTTTGATACAGTGCCACAAGAAAGACTGATTAAAAAGCTAGAGGCTCATGTGTTAGTATTCAAATTGTACGACGGTTAAGATGTAACCAATCACAAATCATGTAAGCCTCTGACGTCATTCTCCACAGAGAGCTGGTACCAGCCGTTCTGGTGACCAGTCAGTATCCTCACAGACCTCAGAGTAGGGAGGACCTCGGCTGACCGGTTATATACTTTGTTACCTTGCTGAATAAACTGCAGAAGTGACTACCTGTGTATTCTCTACAAGCCAACAACAACCGAACATCAAAGAAGGTAACAAATACTGGTAGCAGCAGTGGGATCCAGAATTAATTTTCTGGAAACGACAATTCAAGTACCCACATCGCCACGTGTTCTAGCCGCTACCGCCGCCATAAGCCGCCATTCTGCCACCCATGCATCAATTATTGTGCCAGTCCGGGGTCCTGCCATCAGCCACTACTCTAGGTCGACGTTCTCTGAAGTAAGGCGCAATATATACAAGTGAGAACGAATTTTCATCAGTGAGGGGAGAGTAATTCGCCGCCTACGATTTTTGAATTTCCCGCGTCATCTTAGAACCTGTACCATCACCACAATCATCACCCAGGCCGACAGCATCAAGCCTTGCACCTGCTATATCATTTTACTGTGACCAACCCGAGAAAATCGTGCTTCCTTTGCCATCATCGTCGTCTCAGCATTTATCTTCGCGCTCCCAACATCAATTCCCAGTGTAGGGTCCCACAAGAGCTTCGCGCACGGCCGCTAGGAACGCTGCCTGCCGCCGTACCATTTGTACACAAACCCTACATGTGCTCTTCACGCACCTTCACGACGCTTCCCCCATTTTGGCTACTGGTGATTCTCAAGAATTGCATCCCCGAGATAAGTAATTGATAGATGAGATATCTATGCCAAGTTCTAAAAAATAATTTACATAATAATATCCTTAACATCGTGTGAATTAACCATTCAGTGACTTCTTAAATATTGGAGCTGGCTCAGTACTCCACTCCCACAGTTTCCCTGAGTGATTTCAACATTCCTGCTTCTCACAGTAAATTCATTGTGCATTAATTGTGTTAATAGAGTGTTATTATCAAATTCAAAGTCAAGAGAAGTAAGAAATCCTTGTTTTAGTAGCAGTCAAGGATTTGCACAATATAATTTTTTTTAATAACTCCAGGCCTTAATTTGAAATTTATTCTTTCAACATTTCACTTTATAATTTTTACCATAGCAATTTATATATATACCTGTGACCATCTGTGTAAGTCACAGATGGTCACTTCTGCAGTTTATTCAGCAAGGTAACAAAGTATATAACCGGCCAGTTACAAAGTATATAACCAGCCAGCCGAGGTCCTCCCTACTCTGAGGTCTGTGAGAATACTGACTGGTCACCAGAACGGCTGGTACCAGCTCTCTGTGGAGAATGAAGTCAGAGGCTTACTTGATTTGTGATTGGGTTACATCTCAACCGTCGTACAATTTGAATACTAACACCGCTCGGACACGCTACCAAATCGACGTCCCTTCTCGACAAGCTCTAGCTAGCTAGATAGTTACAATGATATTGAAAAGGACCTCGATGGTATTCAATAATAACAGCCAACAACAACCATACATCAAAGAAGATATCAAATACATGGTGTTGGGGGTGCAGAATTAAGTTGGATTTGGGCATGGCTATACCAAAGAAAGCTGAGTTAGTATAAATGGGGGTTAAGTCAGAGTGCAAAAAATGTTGTAAGTGGAGTGTCTCAAGGTTCTGTATTGGGACCTCTGTTGTTTATAATATAAATAAATGATTTAGATTCAGGTTTGAGTAGCAACATTTGCAAATTTGCCAATGAAACAAAAATCGGAAGGGAAATAAATACGGAAGAAGAGTCATTGTCACTTGAAGTCGGTCTAAATAGGGTTTTGAAATGGCCAAAAGATTGGCAGATGCAGTTTAATGGTGATATATGTAAAGTTTTGAGGCTAGTTATTGAAGATTGAGTTACAAGGTACGAGCTAGATGGTGTTCAGATTGCGAAGTCGGATTGGGAAAGGGATCTGGGAGTTATGATTAGTAAGAATTTAAAACCAAAAGATCAAGGCATGAATGTTCGTAATAAGGCAAATAGGACACTGGGATTTATTAATCGAAGCATTAGTAACAAGACACCTGATGTTCTTCAGCTATATCTTACTTTGGTTAGGCCCCATTTAGGTTATGCAGTTCAAATTTGGTCGCCGTACTATTGAATGAATATAAATTCACTTGAATGCATCCTGCGTAGGATGACAAAGTTAATCCCCCAAAACAGAAACAAGTCATATGAAGAAAGATTAACAAAGCTTAAATTGCATTCACTGGTAAAGTGAAGAGTTAGGGGGTAACATGATAGAGGTTTACAAGTAGATGAATGAGCATAACAAAGGGGAATATTAATAGGGTTTTAAAAGTATCAATACAAGACAGAACACGAAACAATAGTTATAAATTGGATGAGTTTAGATTTAGGAAAGACCTGGGGAAAATACTGGTTCAGTAACGGGGTTGTTGATTTGTGGAACCAATTACCGCATAACGTGGTGGACGTGGGGTACCTTGATTGTTTCAAACATGGATTGGACGTGTATATGAGTGGAATTGGGTGGTTATAAATAGGAGCTGTCTCGTATGGGTCATTGGGCTCTCTGCAGTTACCTTTATTCTTATGTTCTTATGTGACCACACACGCGAAGCAAGTGCATCAGAACCACTCTCCAAAGCAGACAGGGACGTCTCCTGAGGAGCTGGTACCTACACCACAGCAGACAGCCACTGTGAATCTCCACTGGCACATACGGCACCACACAAAGCCCCATAGTCGGAGCCTCATCCATACGCACAGGCCGTTTGCCAGCCCCTGGTGGCACAAGGCGTTTCGCTAGCTCTGCAAGCCACCGCGACACTCACACAGCCAGGCGCAACGTCTGTCATGCTGGAAGTTGCCACAATATCACCAGCCAACACCACTGAATCCTCTAGGGTGCGGAGGTGTGGATTATCACTCTCCTAAAAGATAATATCGATGTAAGCAGCCTCCTCCACGGAGCAAGCTGCAACCAGATGACCCTGTAGACCACACCGATAACAGGTATGGGGCTGACCGGAATACATACACCAGAGCTTAAACTCCAGCAGGGAAAGGGAAGATGGTATACCCCGCGTCAGGGACATCGTCAGCGTCCGAGTGCCAGTGTTTTAATAACCAGGTGGAAACTTTATTCCACCTCACACTTAACACCTTACCAAACAGCCCATCCATCATTTCAAACGCTACACCATGTACCACCACCAAAATATGTATGCTTACAGAAAAGGTGTTGGAACCACAGAATATCTTACCTCCCTTCTGGAACAAATCAGTGACAAACCTGGAATCCTTATTTTTCTAGACCTAGAAAAAGCCTTCGAGCTAGCCAATGCTCCAGCTACACTGTGCTGCCTTGTGGATAAGGAAATCAAAGGAACGCTCTTGCCTTTGCCAAACGAAGCCTGCTTAACCGAGAAGCTACAGTCAAATTCCAAGAAAAAACATCGTCCTTAAAGAGGCTGGAAAACGAAACTCCGCAGTGAGGAATACTAAACCCTTTCCTCTTCAACTGTCTCACGGAAGAATTCATGAAGCTAAAGTTACCCAATAGCCAAGCTGCTTAACTATGCAGACGATTTTGTGGTCATCATCAATGGCAAAGGCGCCAGGAACTATGCTAAAAAATGCCTAGATATTATCAGCAGGGAAGCGGAACGCATAGCAGTGAAAATAAACAGCAATAAAACCAAAGCAATGGCCGTTAAAATGGGAACTCAAGACATCAGATTCGCAATACAAGGACATGAAATTGAGTGGGTTACCTCTTTTTCATGCCTAGGAGTCATAATAGACAGCCAGTTGAAATTCACTCAAAAAAATTAATATCTTTGGCAACGTTGTAAAGACAAACTCAGCTTTGCGCTCCCTGACAAGTGTTAGAGAGGGTGCATCTCTACCAGTATTCAAAATGTACTACGTTCAAGCAGTTAGGTCACTCATTGACTATGCTGCTCCTGCTTTTACATCCCTCAGTGATATCCAATGAGAGAAACTGGAAGTGTCTCAAAATGATGCCCTCAGAACAATGCTGGGAGCACCTATATGGACGCCTCGAGAGAATCTAAGGATGGAAACCAACTTACCAGCTTAGAAAACAGGATCAAACAAAGGATAGCAACCATAGCAGCAAAACTTGTTGGAACAACTGCCAGACTGTCGATCAAAGATAGCTTACACAGATAGCTTCAGAGAAACCTTCAGTATAGAACAAGTGTATGGACGGATAATCTAGTAAAGATTCTAGAGAAAGTGGACTTGAAATGGACCATTAAAAACAAAGGAGAAGATAAACCATATCAACACTTTCGGTAGCCTCCTCCATAGGAAAAATCTAGTCTAAAGATTATCATTGAAGGACTACCAGCTAAAAAATCAGCATGTGACTCGCAGAAGCCTAAAGCAGTCATAGAACGACAAATGGAAACCATCTCAAGACCGATAACGACTCACATCTTCACAGATGGATCAGTTGATCAAGAAAGAGGTTCTGCTGGGGCAGCAGTTTACACTAACAACCATGAAGCTTATTGGAGCATGAATAGTGGGTGCTCAACATTGAAAACAGAATTATATGCCCGGAAGGAGGCCATACTCATCCTGTGTACCCCGAGTGTACCATCAACCGGTACCACCATATACAATTGAGAATAATTTACATGATGTCATCATTCATACCGACTCTAAATCTTCGCTCTAGGCATTGTTATCCAGTCAACACAGAGATAATATACAACTCCTCACAGAAATCCAACATATAGGAAAAGAAGCCCATAATCTAGGGCTGTCAATCACCCTAAATTGGATACCAAGCCACATTGGCATAGATAGTAATGAAAAGGCAGACTCACTAGCAAAAACTGCCACTGCTCTACCTGTTATACAGTTTCAAATACTTCCAAGTTTTTCACAGATTAAGGAGCAAATCAAGAAGAAAATACTCCCAACAATCAAAAGTGGCCACAGAGCCAAAGAAGCGGAAGGAATATCCACTGCGATATGATACGAACAAGCCACTGGGTACTACTATTTCAGGCCTGACAAAAAGATATCCAGAGACATTGCAGTAGCCATACATAGACTCAGACTTGGTTACAAGTGCTGCTGGGAGGTAATAAACCCAATAGTTAAAGAGTGCTGTATCTGTGGAACAGAAGCAGTGTTCTACTATTGCACTACTTCTGGAATGTGAAACTACTGAAGTCCTGCACATCAAACTAAACATTAATCCAACGACAGCATCTGCATTAGATGCACATTCCACAGCCACTACAATGATTAGAAAATCCGGTAAAGAATGGGACTCACTAGTGAACATTCTGCACCTACATCCGTCACCAAGATAATGTTATTAAAACACGACTAAAACAGAAGGGAAAAAGAAACAGGGAAAAGGAGGAATCCTCACCAACATTTAGAACTTTGACCCAAATATCAGAGTAACACAGTTATTGCGAATAACCGAAGTCAATTATGGGCTCACCATAGCGCGTGCTACATGGACATTTCGTTCTGAGTAGCTAAATCTAAAACAACAACAACAACAACAACAACAACCACATATGTCAATGTTACACTTAAGTTGACCACTCATACCGTACCAGCATCATCAGGCATAGGGAACTAGCAACCCTCACACCTACCAAGGAACTTCCGGAACACATCTAGGCGGACAAATTTCACCACCACACGGCGGTTTTGAACGATCTGCACTCCCACCAGGTCTGTCAACTTCACAGGGAGCACCTCCACGAGCGCAGCCCCAAGCGCCGTATGTTTAACTGGCGTCGAAAACTCAAAACCTGCTGAAGACGTCCGCTTAAGAGGAGGCATAGATGACCCCATCGTTAAGCAAAAACGTCCCCTGCACCAGCCGGGTACTACACAGGTCACTGGACCGACACCCAACCACCCACTCCACGCTTGGGAGGTCAGTTGGGGAGCAACACCTGAGCACGTCCACTCCCTCTGGCCACCAGCCAGTAAATCTACTCCAGTTTTAGTTGGTGGTCAACCGACTGTAACAAGATTTCAAAGCTCACTATTCTCGGCAAGCTCACCTTATTCACCAAGCTTACCTTGTTCATCAATCTTACTGTGTTCACTAAGATCACCATGTTCATTATGCTCACCAAATTTACCTTCTCATCAAGTTTGTCAAGCTCACGAAGTTTACCAAGATCACCATGTTCACCAAGCTGACAAGGCTCACCAAGCTAACAAGGCTCACCAAGCTGACAAGGCTCACCAAGCTGACAAGGCTCACCAAGCTGACAAGGCTCACCAAGCTGACAAGGCTCACCCTGTTCACCAAGCTGACGAGACTCACCATGTTCACCAAACTGACAAGGCTCACCCTGTTCACCAAGCTGACAAGACTCGACCTGTTCACCAAGCTGACAAGACTCACCATGTTCACCAAGCTGACAAGACTCGACCTGTTCACCAAGCTGACAAGGCTCACCCTGTTCACCAAGCTGACAAGGCTCACCCTGTTCACCAAGCTGACAAGGCTCACCATGTTCACCAAGCTGACAAGGCTCACCCTGTTCACCAAGCTGACAAGGCTCACCAAGCTGACAAGGCTCACCAAGCTGACAAGGCTCACCAAGCTGACAAGGCTCACCAAGCTGACAAGGCTCACCCTGTTCACCAAGCTGACGAGACTCACCATGTTCACCAAACTGACAAGGCTCACCCTGTTCACCAAGCTGACAAGACTCGACCTGTTCACCAAGCTGACAAGACTCACCATGTTCACCAAGCTGACAAGACTCGACCTGTTCACCAAGCTGACAAGGCTCACCCTGTTCACCAAGCTGACAAGGCTCACCCTGTTCACCAAGCTGACAAGGCTCACCATGTTCACCAAGCTGACAAGGCTCACCCTGTTCACCAAGCTGACAAGGCTCACCCTGTTCATCAAGATGACAAGACTCACCATGTTCACCAAGCTGACAAGACTCACCATGTTCACCAAGCTGACAAGACTCACCATGTTCACCAAGCTGACAAGACTCACCATGTTCACCAAGCTGACAAGACTCACCATGTTCACCAAGCTGACAAGACTCACCATGTTCACCAAGCTGACAAGGCTCAACCGGTTCACCAAGGTCACAAGACTCACTATGTTCACCAAGTATCACAACCACCCACCATCACCCGGTACCACAACCACCCACCATCACCCGGTACCATAACTACTCACCATCACCCGGTTCCACAACCACCCTCCATCACCCGGTACCACAACCACCCACCATCACCCGGTACCATAACTACTCACCATCACCCGGTTCCACAACCACCCTCCATCACCCGGTACCACAACCACCCACCATCACCCGGTACCATAACTACTCACCATCACCCGGTACCACAACCGCCCTCCATCACCTGGTACCACAACCAACCACCATCACCCGGTATCTTACCAGGCACCGTTAAGTTTACGGAATGCAACACCATCTACATATTCCTGAAAGCTTTTGCCTGGGTAAGTGTTGCGGAGGTAAATGTTGGTTGTGTTATTAGAGCGGCAGCAGGAGGCCCCACAAGCCGGCTGGAAGGTGCAGTTTGTGTGGTGCAGCAACCCGACCCGGCCATAACCCCGCCATACATAACACCCGCACACAAAACCCGGATTCTAAATATAATTTGCATTATTGAAATGGAAGGTAAAGTGCCTGAAGAAGGCCGGCCATTCCATGAATACCAATTGACTTGACTTTCAGGAGATGATAACACGCCAAGTAAAGTCAAGACTCCGGATAAGTGGCAGCATATAGTACACTTAGGATAAGAAGTACACGTTAACAAACGCGCCCCAGAATGTTGCACAATATCAACCTGCAAAATACGCGCTCGTTCTGCCCGCTCCAAGGATCTTCAGGTGTTAGGTTGTACCTCTACGGACCTCCACAATTTTTTGTTTTAAAATGTTTGTTTAGTAGTCAACTTGAATGCGGCACAATTCTTAGTAGAAAAGAACACCCTGTTATCGAGTTGTTGGTCGATGTTGTGCTTGGTGGTGGACCAGCTGGTGTTCCTGGCCTCGACTCACCTCGCCCCCGGAGGTTAAAACAGCCTCAGCTCCAGCCTCGCTTGTGCTTCAAACATTCCCACACACCCTAGTCCTCTATGGCCTCACTTGCAAGTGCTGCTTATCAAACAAGAATTGATTCCATTACACAGCGTATATACGCTAGTTTATTGTGCACCCCATACTCATCCTGCAAGCGGTAGTTTATTGTGCACCCCATATTCATCCTGTGAGGGGGTAGTTTATTGTGCACCCCATATTCATCCTGTGAGGGGGTAGTTTATTGTGCACCCCATACTCATCTTGTGAGTGGTAGTTTTTTGTGCACTCCATACTCATCCTGTGAGGAGTAGTTTATTGTGCACCACACACTCATCTTGTGAGTGGTAGTTTATGGTGCACCACATACTCATCCTGTGAACAGTAGTTTATTGTGCACCCCATACTCACCCTGTGAGGGGGTAGTTTATTGTGCACCACACACTCATCCTATGAACAGTCGTTTATTGTGCACCCCATACTAATCCTGCGAAATATAGTTTATTGTGCACCCCATACTCATCCTGTGAACTGTTGTTTATTGTGCACCCCAAACTCATCCTGTGAGCGGTAGCTTATTGTGCACCACATACTCATTCTGTGAGCAGTAATGTTTTGTGCACCCCATACTCATCCTGTGAGGTAGTTTATTGTGCACCTAATATTCATCCTGTGAGCGATAGTTAATTGTACACCCCGTACTCATCCTGTGAGCGATAGTTTATTGTGCACCCCATATTCATCCTGTGAACTATTGTATATTGTGCACCCATACTCATCCTGTGAATAGTAGTTTATTGTGCACCCCACACTCATCCTGTGAGGGGTAGCTTATTGTGCACCCCATACTCATCCTGTGAGCGGTAGTTGATTCTGCACCCTTTACTCATCCTGTGAACGGCAGTTTATTGTGCAACCCATACTCATCCAGTGAACGGTAGTTTATTGTGCACCCCATGCTTATCCTGTGAGCAGTAGTGTTTTGTGCATCCCATGCTCGTAATATGAGTGGTAGTTTATTGTGCACTCCATACTCATTCAGAGAGAGGTAGTTTATTGTGCTCAATACTCCTCACATGAGCGGTAACTTAAGGTGCACCCCATACTCATCTTTTGAGCTTCATCATATTGTGCCCCATACTCATCATGCGAGTGGTAGTTTAATGTGCCACATACTCATCCTTTGAGTAGTAGTTTATTATGCACCCCATACTCATCCTTTGAGTGGTAGTTTATTGTTCACTCCATACTTAACTGGTTGTGGTTGTTATATATATACTCCTTAACATTACTATGTATGAGTTTGTTAGGGAAATGTTTCATTTACCAAGATGTTATTTAAGGATTGTCCTCGTGTACAAGTTAACATTGGCATTTCTTGTGGGAATTTCCTCCACACTGGATGATTTCCGTGTAGCATCGTTGGATATCCCCAGAGGATAATGAGTTCCCTCCTGAGCGGCCCCAGCCCTTCCCAGTAATAGCAATAATAGTAGTAAGGAGGTGATTATAGGAGTAATTAGAGCAGGAGTAGAGTGCCTTCGAAGAGGTAGCCATAGTAATGATAATAAATAGTGAAATTACCAGAAAATTGCAGTTCGAGATCGTTGACGCGATCGGCACCCCGGCAAGCTCCCCCAGTCTGGCCTAATGAGAAAGTTTATCGCTCTCCATGGAGTCCACATGCTGCCATGCACCCAATTGCTCCTTGCAGCCCAAATGCTGCCTAGAACCCACATAGTGCCTGGAGCCCAAATGCTGCCTGGAGCCCACATGCTGCCTGGAGCCCACATGCTGCCTGGAACCGACATGTTGCCTGTAACCCACATGTTCCCTGGAGCCCATATGCTGCCTGGAGCCCACATGTTGCCTGGCCCCTCACATGTTGCCTGGATCCCACATGCTGCCTGGAGCCCACATGCTGGCTGGAGCCCACATGCTGCCTAGACCACACATGTTGCCTGAAGCCCACATGCTACCTGGACCCCACATGCTGCCTGGAGCCCACATGTTGCCTGGCCCCCACAAGCTGCCTGGATCCCACATGCTGCCTGGAGCACACATGTTGCCTGGAGCCCACATGCTACCTGACCCCACATGCTGTCTGGAGCCCACTTGCTGCGTGAAGCCCACATGCTACCTGGACCCCACATGCTGCCTGGAACCCACATGATGCCTGGAGCCCACATGCTCATCCTATGAACAGTCGTTTGTTGTGCACCCCATACTAATCCTACGAAATGTAGTTTATTGTGCAACCCATACTCATATTGTGAACTGTTGTTTATTGTGCACCTCATACTTATCCTGTGAGCGGTAGTTTATTGGACACCCCATACTCATACTGTGGGCGGTAGTCTATTGTGCACCCCATACTCATCCTGTGAGCGATAGTTTATTGTCCACCCCGTACTCATCCTGTGAGGGATAGTTTATTGTTCAACCGATACTCATCCTGTGAGTGATAGTTTTTTGTGCACCCCATACTCATCCTGTGTAATGTAGTTTATTGTGCACCCCATATTCATCCTGTGAACTGTAGTTTATTGTGCACCCTATACTCATCCTGTGAACAGTAGGATAGTGTGCCACATACTCATCCTGTGAACAGTAGTTTATTGTGCACCCCATACTCATCCTGTGAGGGGGTAGCATATTGTGCACCCTTTACTCGTCCTGTGAACGGAAGTTTATTGTACACCCCTATACTCATCCTGTGAGGGGTAGTTTATTGCGCAACCCATATACTCATCCTGTGAGGGGTAGTTTATTGTGCAACCCATACTCATCCTATGAGGGGTAGTTTATTGTGCACCCTATACGCATCATGTGAGGGATAGTTTATTGTGCACCTTATACTCATTCTCTGAGCGCTTGTTTATTGTGCACCCCATACTTATCCTGTGAGCGCTAGTTTACTGTGCACCCCATACTCATCCTGTGAAATGTAGTTTATTGTTCACCCCCATACTCATCCTGTGAGCGGTAGTGTATTGTGAACCCCATACTCATACTGTGAGCGGTAGTGTATTGTACTCCCAATACTCATCCTGTGAGCGGTAGTTTATTGTGCACCCCGTACTCATCCTGTAAGCAGCAGTGTATTGTGCACCCCATACTCATCCTGTGAGCGGTAGTTTATTGTGCACCCCATACTCATCCTATGAGCGGAAGTTTATTGTGCACCCTATACTCATCTGGTGAACGGTAGCTTGTTGTGCACCCCATGCTCATCCTGTGAGCAGTAGTGTATTGTGCATCCCATACTCAGAATATGAGTGGTAGTTTATTGTGCACTCCATACTCATCCTGAGAGAGGTAGTTTATTGTGTTCAATACTCCTCACATGAGCGGTAACTTAAGGTGCACCCCATACTCATCTTTTGAGCTTCATCATTTTGTGCCCCATACTCATCATGCGAGTGGTAGTTTAATGTGCCACATACTCATCCTTTGAGTAGTAGTTTATTATGCACCCCATACTCATCCTTTGAGTGGTAGTTTATTGTTCACTCCATACTTAACTGGTTGTGGTTGTTATATATATACTCCTTAACATTACTATGTATGAGTTTGTTAGGGAAATGTTTCATTTACCAAGATGTTATTTAAGGATTGTCCTCGTGTACAAGTTAACATTGGCATTTCTTGTGGGAATTTCCTCCACACTGGATGATTTCCGTGTAGCATCGTTGGATATCCCCAGAGGATAATGAGTTCCCTCCTGAGCGGCCCCAGCCCTTCCCAGTAATAGCAATAATAGTAGTAAGGAGGTGATTATAGGAGTAATTAGAGCAGGAGTAGAGTGCCTTCGAAGAGGTAGCCATAGTAATGGTAATAAATAGTGAAATTACCAGAAAATTGCAGTTCGAGATCGTTGACGCGATCGGCACCCCGGCAAGCTCCCCCAGTCTGGCCTAATGAGAAAGTTTATCGCTCTCCATGGAGTCCACATGCTGCCATGCACCCAATTGCTCCTTGCAGCCCAAATGCTGCCTAGAACCCACATAGTGCCTGGAGCCCAAATGCTGCCTGGAGCCCACATGCTGCCTGGAGCCCACATGCTGCCTGGAACCGACATGTTGCCTGTAACCCACATGTTGCCTGGATCCCACATGCTGCCTGGAGCCCACATGCTGGCTGGAGCCCACATGCTGCCTGGACCACACATGCTGCCTGGAGCCCGCATGTTCCCTGGAGCCCACATGCTGCCTAGAGCCCACATGTTGCCTGGTCTCTTACATGCTGCCTGGATCCCACATACTGCCTGGAGCCCACATGCTGGCTGGAGCCCACATGCTGCCTGGAGCACACATGTTGCCTGGAGCCCACATGCTACCTGGACCCCACATGTTGCCTGGAGTCCACATATTTCCTGGCCCCCACATACTGCCTGGATTCCACATGCTGCCTGGAGCCCACATGTTGCCTCGAGCCCACATGCTACATGACCCCACATGCTGCATCTAGCCCACATGTCGCCTGGCCCCCCACATGCTGCATGGATCCCATATGCTGCCTGGAGCCTACATGCTGCCTGGAGCCCACATGCTGGCTGGACCCCACATGCTGCCTGGACCCCACATGCTACCTGGACCCCAAATGATGCCTGGAGCCCACATGTTGCCTGGAGCCCAAATGCTGCCTGGATCTTACATGCTACCTGGAACCCACATGCTGTCAGAAGCCCACATGTTGTCTGGAGCCCACATGCTGCCTTTAGCCCATATGCTGCCTGGAGCCCTCATGCTGCCTGGAGCCCACATGTTACCTGGAGCCCACATGCTACCTGGAGCCCACATTCTGCCTGGAGCCCACTTGCAGCCTGGAGCCCACATGCTACCTGGCCCCCGCATGCTGCCTGAACCCACATTCTGTCTTTACCCCAACATGCTTCCTGGAGCCCACATGCTGACTGAAGCCCACATGCTGCCTGATCCTCCCACATGCTGTCTGGAGCCCACATGCTGCCTGGAGTCCACATGCTGCCGAGATCCCATATGCTGCCTGGAGCCCACATGCTACCTGGACCCCACATGCTGCCTCGAACCCAGATGCTGCCTGGACCCCAACATGCTGTCTGGAGCCCACATGATGACTGAAGCCCACACGCTGCCTGAACCTCCCACATGCTGCCTGGAGCCCACATGCTGCCTTGTGTCCACATACTGCCGAGAGCCCACATGCTGCCTGGAGGCCACATGCTGCCTAGAGCCCACTTGCTGCCTGGAGCCCACTTGCTGAATGGAACCCACTTGCTGCCAGGAGACCACATGATGCCTGGAGCCCACATGCTGCCTGGAGTCCACAATGTGCCTGAAGCCCACATGCTGCCTGAAGCCCACATGCTGCCTGGAGCCCACATGTTAACTGGACCCCAAATGTTGCCTGGAGCCCACATGCTGCCTGGAGCCCAAATGCTGCCTGGAGCTTACATGCTACCTGGAACCCAAATGCTGTCGGAAGCCCACATGTTGCCTGGAGCCCACATGCTGCCTGGAGCCCACATGCTGCCTGGAGCCCACATGCTGCCTGGAGCCCACATGCTACCTGGAGCCCACATGCTGCCTGGAGCCCACTTGCAGCCTGGAGCCCACATGCTACCTGGCCCCCGCATGCTGCCTGGAACCCACATGCTGCCTGGACCCCAACATGCTGCCTGGAGCCCACATGCTGACTGAAGCCCACATGCTGCCTGATCCTCCCACATGCTGCCTGATCCTCCCACATGCTGCCGAGATCCCATATGCTGCCTGGAGCCCACATGCTGCCAGGAGCCCACTTGCAGCCTAGAGCCCACATGCTACCTGGACCCCACATGCTGCATGGAACCCACATGCTGCTTGGACCCCAACATGCTGTCTGGAGCCCACATGCTGACTGAAGCCCACATGCTGCCTGAACCTCCTACAAGCTGCCTGGAGCCCACATGCTGCCTGGAGTCCACATGCTGCCGAGAGCCCACATGCTGCCTGGAGTCCACAATGTGCCTGGAGCCCACATGCTGGCTAGAGCCCACATGCTGCCTGGAGCCCACTTGCTGCCTGGAGCCCACATGCTGCCTAAAGCCCACATGATTCCGAGAGCCCACATGCTGCCTAGAGCCCATTTGTTGCCTATAGCCCACATGCTGCATGGAGCCCACTTGCTGCCTAGAGCTCACATGCTGCCTAGAGCCCAAATGCTGCTTAGAGCCTACATGCTGCCTAGAGCCTACATGCTGCCTAGAGCCCACTTGGTGCCTAGAGCCCACATGCTGCCTAGAGCCCACATGCTGCCAAGAGCCCACATGCTGCCTACAGTCCACTTGCTGCCTGAAGCCCACAGTGTGGCTGAAGCCCACATGCTGCCTGGAGCCCACTTGGTGCCTAGAACCCACATGCTGCCTAGAGCCCACATGCTGCCAAGAGCCCACATGCTGCCTACAGTCCACTTGCTGCCTGAAGCCCACAGTGTGGCTGTAGCCCACATGCTGCCTGGAGCCCAAATGCAGCCAGAAGTTCACATGCTGCCTGAAGCCTACACGTTGCCTGAAGCCCACATGTTGCTTGAAGCCCACATGCTGCCAAGAGGCCACTTGCTGCCTGGAGCACACATGCTGCCTGGAGCCCACATGCTGCCTGGAGCCCAAAAACTGCCTTGAGCCCACATGCTACCTGGAGCCCAAAAGCTGCCTGGAGCCCACATGCTACCTGGAGCCCAAAAGCTGCCTGGAGCCCACATGCGTAGCCCACATGCTGCCTGGAGCCCACATGTTGCCTGGAGCCCACTTGCTACCTGGAGCCCACATGCTGCCAGAGCTCACATGCTGCTGAGCCCACATTCTGCCTGGAGCCCACATACCGCCTGAAGCCCACATGCTACCAAGAGCCGACATTCTGCCTGAGCCCCACATGCTGCTGAGCCCACATGTTGCCAGAGCCCAAAAGCTGCTTAGTCCATGTGCTGCTGAGCACACATGCTGATAGTGCTCACATGCTACCTGGAGCCCCCCTACTGCTGAGCCCATATGCTGCCAGTGCCCACATGCTGCCTGGAGCCCAGATGCTGCTGAGCCAACATGATGCAAGAGCCCACATGCTGCAGAGCCCACATGCTGCTGAGACCACATGCTGCCAGAGTCCACATGCTGCCTGGAGCCAACATGTTTTCTAGAGTCCACATGATGCTGAGCCCACATGTTGCTGAGCCCACATGGTGAAAGAGCCAACTTGCTGCCAGAGCTCTCATCCTGGTTAGTCTATATGCTGACAGTGCTTACATGCTGCCTGTACTCAACATGTTGCCAGTGCACCCATGCTGCCTGGAGTCCACATCCTGCTGAGCCAACATAGTGCAAGAGCCCACATGCTGCAGAACCCACATGCTGCAGAGCCCACATGCTGCAGAGCCCACATGCTTCCAGAGTCCACATGCTGCCTGGAGCCAACATGTTACCTGGAGTCCAAATGCTACCTGGTGCCCAAATGTTGCCTGGCGTCCACATGCTGCTGAACCCACATGCTGCTGAGCCCACATGATGCCAGAGCCCACATGCTGCCTGGAGCCCACATGCTGCTGAGCACACATGCTACTGAGCCCATATGCTGCCATAGCCTACATCCCACCAGAGCCCTCATGCTGCTGAGCCCCAATGCTGTCTGGAGCCTTCAAGTTGCCTGGAGTCCACATCCTGCCTAGAACAAACATGTTGCATGGAGACAACATGCTTCCTAGAGCCCACAAGCTGCCTGGAGCCAACATGCTGCCATGACCCAACAAGGTGCCTGGAGCCCACTTGCTACCGGGAGCCCACATGTTGCCTGGAGCTCCCTTGCTGCCTGAAGCCTACTTGCTGCCTTGAGCCCACAAGGTGTCTAGAGCGCACATATTGCCTGGAGCCCACATGCTACCTGGAGCCCACTTGTTGCATGGAGCTCACATGCTGCCAAGACCCCACATTCTGCCTGGAGACCACATGCTGCCAGGAGCCCACTTCCTGATGGAGCCCACATGCTGCCTGGAGCCCACTTGCTGCCTGGAGCCCACTTGCTGCCTGGAGCACACATGCTGCCTAGATCCCACTTACTGCCTGGAGCCCACATACTGCCAGAGCCCACATGCTGCTAAGCCCACATACTTCCTGGAACCCACATGCTGCCTGGAGCTCACATGTTGCCTGGAGCCGACATTCTGCCAGACCCCCAACATGCTGCTGAACCCACATGCTGCCAGAGCCCACATACTGCTTAGCCCCTATGCTGCTAAGCAGACATGCTGACAGAGCCCACATGCGGCCTTGAGCCCACTGGCTGCCTGTTGCCCAAATTCTGCTAGAAGCCCACATGCTGCCTGAAGCCCACATCCTGCTGAGCACACATGATACTGAGCCCATATGCTGCCATAGCCTACATCCTACCAGAGCCCTCATGCTGCTGAGCCCCAATGCTGTCTGGAGCCTACATGCTGCCATGACCCAACAAGGTGCCTGGAGCCCACTTGCTACCGGGAGCCCACATGTTGCCTGGAGCTGCCTTGCTGCCTGAAGCCTACTTGCTGCCTTGAGCCCACAAGGTGTCTAGAGCGCACATATTGCCTGGAGCCCACATGCTACCTGGAGCCCACTTGTTGCATGGAGCCCACATGCTGCCTAGACCCCACATTCTGCCTGGAGACCACATGCTGCCAGGAGCCAACTTCCTGATGGAGCCCACATGCTGCCTGGAGCCCACTTGCTGCCTGGAGCCCACTTGCTGCCTGGAGCACACATGCTGCCTAGATCCCACTTACTGCCTGGAGCCCACATACTGCCAGAGCCCACATGCTGCTAAGCCCACATACTTCCTGGAACCCACATGCTGCCTGGAGCTCACATGCTGCCTGGAGCCGACATTCTGCCAGACCCCCAACATGCTGCTGAGCCCACATGCTGCCAGAGCCCACATACTGCTTAGTCCCTATGCTGCTAAGCACACATGCTGACAGAGCCCACATGCGGCCTTGAGCCCACTGGCTGCCTGT